CGTGAACCAGATGCCCCCTGACAGCTTTGTGTTACTCTCTATAATTGACTCAATGCTTGTCTGTAATTTATTTATTTGAGCAGGTGGAATAAAAGCTCAGATTGGGAATGCATGAATGCTGATGTAGAGTGGAAAGAAATTGTTCAACCTGTAATGAAACAATACACTGATGCAACTGATGGCTCATCTATAGAAACTAAAGAGAGTGCCTTGGTTTGGCACCACCAGGATGCTGACCCTGACTTTGGGTCCTGCCAGGCTAAAGAATTGCTTGATCATTTGGAAAATGTTCTTGCAAATGAACCTGCTATCGTCAAGAGAGGGCAGCAAATTGTCGAAGTGAAGCCACAAGTATGATTTCTTTCCTCCCTTCTTCTCTCCCCTAGTCCCATATGAATATTCCAAACTAGTTTTTCTTGAAACCTTTCATGAAACCAAATTATTTTTTATTTAATTTCCCTAAAAGGAAAAATCAAGCAAGTTACAGTGGTAAATTTTAGTAAACCAGGGTCTGTAAACATCACCCTTGTGAAATTTTATATGGAGTAGTTAAAAAAAGTTATTTCCCGAACATGGGTGAGCCATGGCATTGTCTACCAACCTTAAGCTTCATTCACCAATGCCCACTTGCCTTCAACATACATAACATCTTTTAAATGGACAAAGGTTAGTTCTTTTCGGTTATGTTTGACCATATTTGAAAAGCTATCACCTGTGAAAATAGAGCATCTTGAAAAGTCATACCTTTTTAGCCCAGAAGTGTTAGTTCTGGTGGGGTTATGTCATAATGCATGTCCGTCTTAAGCAAGACTCCTTGGTATTTATTTTCAATGTGGTGAATTGGCGCGCTCCACGAAAGTTCGAGTAAGTTAACATTGATTGATATACAGGGAGTGACCAAAGGGTTGGCAGCTGAGAAGGTTCTCGAGATGATGGTTAACAAGGGGAAGCCACCTGATTTTGTGGTGTGTATAGGTGATGATAGATCGGATGAAGACATGTTTGAGGGTATCATAAAAATGGCTTCTGGTCTGACCATTTCACCAGCCCCAGAATTGTTTGCTTGCACGGTCGGACAAAAGCCGAGTAGAGCAAGGTATTACCTTGACGACACCACAGACGTGGTCAGGTTGCTTCAAGGCCTTGCCAATGCATCAAACCCAAAGCCGATAGAGATTGCTGAATTCCAGTCTGTGTTTGACATGTTTAAGTGACTTGGGGGTTCTTTTTTGTGTTTGCTTACCGAAAGGGGGTAAAGTTTTGCAGCTGTTTGGAATGGCTGCCTTTAGTATTGGAGAAGCGCCATTGATGTGTTATGTGTATATGTTCTAACTAACGACTTTCTAATTGAATTATGATATATATAAAAGTTTAATTTTGCGTTTTGTTTACTGAGACCAGGTCCCATGTTTATCAAATTATCAATGATGATGACCATTTTGACCAAGTGATGCACGAAATAGTGTTCTTATCATACGTAGTATTTGAAACGGAGTATAAAAATTTAATCAAATAAAGAGGTGTGATATTTTGTTTGAGGGTCGTGATTCGTGAACCAGTTACCAGTAGTAGCCCAGCTCACTCCGTCTGATTTTTTTTTAAATATCGTCTGGACTCTGGACACTGGAGTATAACTTATACACGTCTAGCTTTTTAATTTTTATCCTGATCTTTTAGTAACCTCAGTCATCTTACTATAAAGGCTAATTACAAAAAAACGTGATTAGTGATAAGTACTATGATACATAAATTACTATCACATTCAAATTTTAAACTTAAGTTTCTATGACACTAATTATTAGTCATATTTATGTAAATAAATTTTATTTTAGTAATACTTTTGAAAAAAAACTTACTAATCAAGGTTTACTCCCATTTCTTAAGGTTTAGCTCAAATTAATCACTTGACTCCAAGAGTTCATGCGAGAAAAAGTTGAGTTTAATGCGCTAAATCCTCATGCAATATAGAAATTTAGCGCATTAATCCTCCGTGATTCAAAAAATGCATCAAACTTTTATGTGTTATAATTAATCATGCACAGAATTCCTTTCATGAACAAATTTAATTGTCAAATAAAAGAAAAATGAACAACATTTGTGTATAATTGAGATTTTGACAAATTTACTTACATATTCAATAATAATATTAGGAAATTGTTTTTCCAAATTGTCAAATTTATTTATAAAGGGGGTCTTGCGCATAAATAATTAAAGTAATACTCCCTCCTTATTTTTTTTGTTCGCTACACTTTCCTTTTTGGATGTATTCAAAAATTTGCTATATTTTTCATTTTTAGTAAGTTTTTCCTTAACTTTTCCCTAAATAGGAGGTGACTCCTAATTTTCCCCAAACAGGAGTTACTCTTCTTCCCGTTATACTTCTATTCTAATTAATTGATTGCCCACTAGTTCCATTGGGCAACCGTAACTGTGTGTTGATGACAGGGCAGTCCAGTGATGGCGGGACAGATTGGTGGTGGTGGAGGAGCCAACAGATATACGGTTACTGGCGGTGGCGGCAGGCTGGTTTGGAGAAAAATATGGGGGTCCCTGATAGAGCTCCGGTGACCAGCGACGGATAGGACAGCGGAGCTCCCGGCAGCGTCAAGTGGTTCGGACCAATCACAAAAACAACTCCTGTTTTGGAAATTTTTAAATTTATACTCCTATTTCTGGAAGTTTAAAACGTTTTGCTTCACAATAGGGATTATCTCTAACAATTACTACGTATAACACGAAGGAGTATGACGCCATTTTTAAATCAATATCATAAAGGAATTAGTTACATTAAACTCAAAAGAAGTTATTGAGGACTTGGGTTGCCTACTGCTGACATGATGATGTATTACTAATTTTCATACTATACAAATATTTACTATATTATTTCATACGAGTATCTTCTTTCAACTTTCTAATTTAAACAAAGTAATCTAAACAAAACTCTCAAATACAATATATTTTCTATTTAAAAAAATCGACTAAAAACATATAAATAGCTATTAATTAAAGTGAAGTCATTTGCATCACGATTCATTACCCCTGACTCATTTTTATTAAGGTAGATTCTAGGGTACCCATAAGGTATACCATACCTTTATCCACATGCATGGACTAATGAGAATGTAGTAGTTGAATTATTTAAATCTAAATTAAAAATGATAAAGTGTTGTGGTCCAATCAAATGAATGGTATGTACGGTACCCTGTTTTTTTTAAAAGGTACCGGAGTTGTCACCTTTTATTAATGGGAAAACTGTCAAATAGGTCCTCGAACTTTCATAAAAAAGTCAATTAAGTCCTTCTATAGGAGACTCTATCCGGTCGTCGCGATTTGGGGCGGTTCTCGGTGGAATTTTTTGATGAAATTTTTTGAGCATCTTATTCATCAAGTCTAGTTTATTTATACCAAATTTCAGCTAAAAATTTAATCGGGAGCGCATTCAAATTAATTCGAGAACGCAAAAATGCGCAGTTATCTTCAAGAATTAATTTGAATGTATTCCCGATTGAATTTTTAGCTGAAATTTGGTATGAGTAAACTAGACTTGGTGAATAAGATGCTCAAAAAATTTCATCAAAAAATTCTACCGGGAACTGACCCAAATCGCGACAGCCAGACAAAATCTCTTATAGAAGGACTTAGTTGACCTTTTTATGAAAGTTCGAGGACCTATTTGACAGTTTTCCCTTTATTAATTGAATATCGTTTAATATATTAATTAACTAGTCAATTAACTACTCCGTAGTAAACATTGACTAATATAATCGAAATTGTAACAAGTATCAAAAGAAATTGTATACAAGATTCGAACCCCAATTGGCCAATTATTTACATACTTAGCTCATGATAATTTTTTATAATAGCTTCAAACTCTTACAAATGTGTCAAACTCTTCTTACCATCTTCATACAATAATAATTGACTCCATTAAAGAACTTTAAAAAAAATCATCATCATTGACTTTTTTGTAGTATAACCCGTATTCAACATCAAAGTTCATTGGTTGAAGAAGCGGTTGTTTTTATCGCTTCTCCACCCAACACAGAAAGGCAAGGTTTTTGATAAATCGTGGCTCCCTCTCTTTCATTGAGTCAAGTGCTCTTCTATTGATTTTTTTTTGGAATAGAACCTTAATTTACATTTTATAGTCAAAGAGTCAATACTTTGCATACCTTTTATGAAGCACTGCAACGACTTTGCGTGCAATTTAAAAATAAATTACACATCTAACTAAACAATGTAATTTATTTTACATGCAAAATGATTGCTTCTCCATATTTTGCATGCAATCACTTCGCGTGCAATGATTTAATGTGTAAACTGCCAATAGAGCCCTAAAGATATATTGAAACGATGGTGATGGTGTATGGAAATATGGAAGTATCCTAAAGGTATATTGAAACGATGGTGATGGTGTATGGAAGTATGGAAGTACCCTAAAAGGTATATTGAAACGACGGTGATGGTGTATGGAAGTGTGGAAGTATAAGAGGGAATTTGGTATGCACTCACGTTATTTGATTGCTTGATTCTGCACCCTGTAATTATTTTGATTGCTTGATTACTCAGAGTATCCCGAGTATCCAGAAATTCGGGATACTCTGGACTGAAAAACAATTATACTAGGCTTAAACATTAACAGGGTGGGCTAAATATGAAAATTTAAAAAATTACACTAAAAAAGTTGAAATTTTTTTAAGCTGCCCTGGGCTTAACCCATACGTAGATCCTCCCCTGCACCAAACGCAGTATCTAACTATCTATTTCTTTCACCACAAGTTCTTTCAAAGTTAGCCCTCAACGTCATGTCAGACACAAGTTTTGTGTTTATCAATAGTGAACTTAAAAAGTTTTGTGAAACTTGACTTCGCTTTTGAACATTTTACCTATACTTCTTAAGGCCCATTATGGGTGTGTGTCGTGATTTATGGGTTTTTATTTGTAATGTCAACCGTCCATGCACCTACCATGTTGAGATGTGAGAATGTAACCGACTCCCCAGAAGAAACTTCTACCTTACGGCATGTTTGGTTTCTCAAATTCATGTCCCAACTCATCTGTCAAACTACCACACACCATGATAAACACATCTCAATTGATACATTTAAGTACCCATTTATCAGCATTACTGGGGGCTTGGGTCCTATGGTGAATCGGAGACAAGCCTCATGTGGTAGAGAAACTCAAGGAAGATGAGCTAAACCAAAGTTAGCATTAATTAGGTTTAGGTACATACCATAAACCTAATAACTAATACATTACTTGATACTTACATTCAGCTGCAGCAACCCATAGGACTAGACTACTTCGTTCTTTTTCTGGCTACTGATAAGCCCATGCTACTGTCACGACACTCCGTGCTAGAAGTTGTGGATGTCATCTCTACAAGGCCAGAGAGATTAGCTTCTATCATACTATCTATCTTCCCCTTTCTTCCATACTCTTTTGCACCTTCATTTTCTTTGTGAAAAACAGTTCCGGAATTGTATGATAAGAGGAACCCATCATCAAAGTGACTCAAATCCTTCATTTCATTGTCTACCAGATCTGGCTGTGCTTTTTTACTAGCAGCACTCATGCCATCCAAATCAAGCAAAGGTGCATCCTTCGCTTCTATTATTCTAGGATACTTTGCTGCTGGTTCGTTGCTATTCTGGCAATCCAAATCTAACAAAGACACTGTTTTTCCATACGGTTTCCAGGTTTCTACTACTCTTCTAGAAGTAAAAGGCGAAATAAACATCAGAGACAAATGAGAGAAACTAAGACATAATATCTGCTTTATTAGTGAGTAAGATGATGAGTTAACAACTGCGCTTTTGAGCTCGAAGCAGAGAATCCGAACTTGTCTGCCCAGATTCATTAGGCAATGCTTCCATGTCCCTTTGTACCCAAGATGCCTGCTGCCTCCCTGTCTACAAATTTCAGTTTAGGATGAAGGCTTAGTAAGCTTTGTTTGTGTCTAGCAGACTGGGAAAAGGAGACTTACATGTGGAATGACAAAAGGACGAAGCACAAATCCAACAACCAAGCCAAATAAGCACGAAAGCCCCACTCCCAGAAACCAAGAGATGGTTGATCCTAATCCTGAAATTTGTTATTCAATTCGTGTTCGACATAATTATTAGACACTTCAGAGTTAGAGAATATAGATAGAGGCCACACACAGAATAATATAAATTCGACCACTCCTTAGCCTCTACGTCACTTAATGAAGTTTACCATACGTTTGTGCACACAGCTTATATTATTTAAGGGGAAAAAACAATGGAGAGAAAATATGTAAAATATACTCCCTAACATTAAATTGGTAGTTGGCGGGGAATGATGGAAAACGTAGAGAAAGTAGTTTATGTTATGGAGAGAGATATAAAAAGTAGATTTCGTAATATATTGATCAAAAAGTTAAGTGTTAGGGTACGAGGAGAATGGACTTTATTTTGAGACTGCATTAGTTATGAAAGATGGATGTTTACCAAGGGACAGAGGAAGTAATTATTCACAAGACACCAACATAAAGATATCAAACTATCATGAATTATCTACAGTAAACTAGTAAATCTTAGAATCATTTTCCAAATAGCTGCATTTTTAAACAAGGGATAAATGCAACAAAGGACAAATGCATGCAGCTCTATAACATACAAAAGTGCAGCATCTTGAAAAATCACTAAATTTTAAAACATAAAACCAGATTAATTCAAGTTTAAAATTTTTCAAATTTAAGAGGTATACCAGATTGTGATTTGGTGGAGCAATCCTCTGCCCTGAGTTTTATTTGACGGACTAATCTATTTCCAATGTCGGAGATTATTAAAGCACATCTTTGAGGAACAAATACTAGCTCATATTCATCTGAAAAGGTGGCTTCTTTTCCAGAACCATCTTTCTTGCCTGCGGTATCAGAAACCCCTCCAGCTATAGTAGTCACACCTGCATTAAGATACATGTTTTACTAGGCTGCAAAGAAGGCCATCATCACTATTAAGGTTTAGATGTTACTTATCATCACATAAATTGGATTGAGTTGGGGCTGGTGGAATGAAATTTGGTGTAAACTGTTTTTTTTTTTTTAAATTAGCTTCAACACCATTAATTTTCACAAAATGAAACTTTCTAATGAGAAAATCATGTCGTGAAAATAGAATAGTTCATGGGAAGTTCCTTATGAAGTGCAAATTACAAACAAATAAATTCCTCCATTAAGAGTTTAAAGGTAAAAGCAACAGTGTCATAGACGTTTGAAGTTGTTTCAAATTTCCCAAGAAACAAAAAGAGCTAGTGAGCCAACTTTTTATTGTGACACCGAGAAGCAGGTTTGTTCTACTTTGGGTACTAGTTTCCCAGGTAAATTTAGCATATCAACAAAATAATATTTTGACTTACTTATTTGGCTTGCATTAATTTTACCATATGATTTTCTTTTAAAAAAATCAACACATTCAGCCCTATCAGCCAAATAAGCCTCACCAAACACCCGTGTATCTCATTTTGCTACTGCCAACCTTCCCAGAACTCCACTTCCATACATGCACCACAATAAATGACCGCAAAATAAGATTTAGCACATTCAAGAAGCCAGAAATGTCAGGCCATTTTTAACCCAATAAATTTAAGCATCTTGCATGGAAATAGAGATCATGTCAAGCAGCTTTCGTAGTACAAGGGCATCATGCATTCACACACCTGATTTGCTAATCTTTCTAATAGCATGCTTGTTTTTAGCATCAGCAACATATAAGTTTCCCCTGGCATCAACCGCAAAGCTTTTAGGCTTGTAGAACATAGCGGAGCTCAGATCACCATCAGAGTAATTACTAATTCCATTTCCTGCCAGCCGCTCAAGAGAAACCCCTAAAACGTTCAAACGCCAAACAATCAAACACCAAAAACGAATTCCGTTCTAATCCGACTGTATGTTCAATTTTACGAAATTCAATTAAAGCATCAAATGAATGAAATACCTCCAGACTCGGGGACTGATACAGTGTACACAGTACTGTGGGTGGAGTCCAGGAGGAAGAGATCGGACGATCCAGGCTGCGGGAGGACGGAGTGAGGGTAGACTTGGAGCTTGTTTCCGTCGAAGAGAGTGCTGACTGAGTAGCCATCCTCGTAATCAATACCAGCGAAAGCTGCAAAATTAGGCAGCCATGTGAAGTGAATTAAAATTGATAAATTACAGCGAGTAGTATAAACTGGTGAAACGACGACTCAGTATAAAATGGTTACCCCCACTAGGAGTTCGGCTAAGGAGGTAGAAGAACAGGGAGATAACGAGCACATGAATTAGGGCAGCCATGACAGTTCAAAGCGAGGTGACGGAGATGAGAGATTAGAACCCAAGAACAAAAAAATTAAGGGTGTGTTGAATATGCCTAATTAGGGGTGGGCAAAAATACGGAAAAATCGGTATACATGTATAATTAGGGTTGTGTATGGGTCGGGTTCGGGCGGGTCGGGTTTGCGAACCCTAAACCCGTTCCGAATTTTTAATTTAATTACTAGGCCTGACCCTTTGATATTTTCAAATCGGGTATTTCGGATATTATCGGATATCGGGTCGAGTTTCGGATTTTTCGGTTATATTAAAAAAGTTATAATTGGATAATTAAAGTGTTCAAATGCCACTTTGACAAAAATTGTACACACTAGTCCACTAAACTTCCAAATTACACAAATAATTTAACAAAAATTGCACAAATAATTACACAAATAATTGAACACGAATATTAATTTAACATATTTAAAGTACACACTACATAATTTAATATATTTCGGATATTTCGGTTATATTAAAACACATTATAATTGGATAATTAAAGTGTTGGAATGCCATTGACAAAAATTGTACACATTAGTGCACTAAACATTCAATTCACACAAATAATTTAATACAAATTGCACAAACACAAATAATTGAACACAAATATTAATTTAAATATTCAAAGTACACACTAACCTATATTTCGGATATTCGTGCCGGTCGGGTTGGGATTTCACAAACCCTACCCACCACCAGGTCTAGGCCCAATACTAATCAGATTTTTGGTTTCAGTTTTTTCGGGTCGGATATCCACTTCGGTTCGGATAATATCCGGAAAAAAATATCGGGTTTTTCGGGTCGGATCGGATTTTGCTCAGCCCTATGTATAATCCGAAAAATCGGCCCTTACCGTACAAAAAATACCGGAAAATACCGAAATATTGGTATACCGCCATTTTCGGTACGGTATCATACCGTACCGATCTATTTCGGTACGATAACGGTAAATGTTTTCAAATATCGCGGTATACCGGTATATTACCGTACCGACTCCCTACTCAACAATTACTTTTAATTCTAATATATTGTAAAAATCCATTACAATTTCGAAGCCCAAAATTAATACTTTAGTTGGTTACAAATACAAAATAAAAGCTCAATTTCTCAAACCCACTATAACCTTATAGGCTTTTACTACGCAAACCTTAATGACTAATGATTAATGTACAAATGTCAGGAAACAAATCCATGTTGTTCCAAGAGCTTGCAAGTCGTGATGGTTGGGCTGCTAAGTAGCTGACGAGTGAAGAGAGATACACTTATGTGACAAGTGTATCTACATAGGGATTCTGCGAGTCGAGACACACAACTTTGTCCGAAAGTCTTATTCAATTTTTAAAGAATTGTAAAAATGACTAAATACATAATATCATCTAATTAAGGAATAAATGATTTTATGTCCATGTTGTTTGAATAGTTTTATTTATTTTTTGTTAGAGATCACTATTAATTTGATTATATATCTATATTGTTCAAGTTATTTTAGGAGAATGTGTTACTTTTTAATATGTGACATGTTGAACTGCTTAAATATATTAATAATAATTATTGTTCAATATTGAATTGTCATCAATAGATTATAATTGTATTTCGTAACATTTTAATAATAGATTTAATATGTTGTTAGTAATAACGATTTAGTATATTTCATTAGTCTATGATAATTTTTTGTATTGGGAGACATGCACGGTAATTTACCGATATCGTACCGTCACCGAACCGAAACTTCGGTATATCGAAATACGGTATACCGAAACTTCGGTAAGGTAAAGGTATGCAAATTTTGCATACCGAAAGTTTTGGTACGGCAAAGGTATGAGAAAAAATATAAGGTATACCGTACCGAACCACCCCTAGGTTAAATACACCGCGCGCATCTCCTTCTCCTCTAGAACGGACACAGCAGATCCTCCATCCGTATTTCTTTTCACCCTTTTCTTTTTTTCTCTTTTTCTTATTCAATTTTGGTACTGCTATTCATCTCAAATGAGTTTTATTTTAAACTCAAATGAGTATACACATAAAAGAAATGAACATACACAACTGAACACTAAGCACATTAAAAACGAGTTTTATATTAAGCTCAGATGAGTATACGCCTCAAAGAAATGAACATACACAACTGAATATTAAACACATTAAAAATGTGTTTTATGTTAAACTTAAATGAGTATAACGTCCAAAATCAATGAGCATACACAAATGAGCTTTTGAATTTTTTGATACTCATTTTGTAAATTATGTATGCTCATTTGATACTGCTTTATACTCATTTAAAATGATGCTCATATCAAATATAACGCCCACAATCAATGAGCATACACAAATGAGCTTTTGAATTTTTGGACACTCATTTTGTAAATTATGCATGCTCATTTGGTCCTGCTTTATGCTCATTTTAAAATGATGCACATATCAAATATAACGCTCAAAATCAATGAGCATACACAAATGAAGTTTTGAATTTTTTGATACTCATTTTGTAAATTATGTATGCTCATTTGGTACTGGTTTATGCTCATTTTAAAATGATGCACATATCAAACATATCATACTACATTAGATTGACATATTGAAATTAATTATAAACACAATTTAAGAATTTATTATAAAAAGAAATTAATAAATAGAAACTGAATTAGAAAATATGAAGCAGAGATCACTGGTGTGTTCATTGTTAGGCTCCTAATACTCAGAAAAACAAACTCGATGCTCATCCAAAGTACATCAATGCTCATTTAAGAGAAATCATGAACTTCATCAAATTTACAAAAATGCCACCGGCTGTATGGTATACGCTTCCTAAAAATGGAGCCCTTTCGTTATGAGGTAAAGTAAACACTTTGCGTGTAAAGTGTGGGAATGTAAACATTTTACACCGTTTATTTTAATTGTTTAATGTAAACTGTAACATGTAAAATATTTTACTTGGGGAGGGGTAAAATTAGAAGACTCGAGAATACATCTACGGAGTATTGAATTCCTGATTTCAAACTTGACCGACTTCGAACACCGGCGGCAAAGCTAAATTGCTATTGCTATTCCGATTTCAATTTAAAGCTCTCAATTTAATCGTAACTAGACAAAGTACCCTTGCGATGCACGAGATATATCTAGAATTGAATAATGATTTAATTAAAATTACTCCCTCTGTCCCATAAAATTCTTCCCACTTTGACTTAACACGGAGATTAAGAAAGTGGAAATGTGTGGTTGTGGTTGTGTAAGAAAAATGTGAAATGAATGTGAACCGCATAAATTGTCCAAAAAAGGAAAGTGAGAAGAATTTTTTAGGACGGCACAAAAAGGAAAGTGGGAAGAATTTTATGGGACGAAGGTAGTATGTTTTTTTATGGTACATAATGTGTAATTTTATCAAATAAAAATACGGTAAAGTTTATGTGTTGTTACTTTTATTAATTATATACGTAGTAGTAGTTGTAATAAAGTAAAAAGTTGGATCGTAAAAAAATTTAAGTAATATTAAAATACTCCGTAAATGATAAAGTATAACCAATAACTCTAATTGACAATGAAATAACTTGATAGTACAATAATTATAAGTGGGTCTCATGAAACTTTTGTTGTTGTATGTCTTGCATATTTAGTATAAGTTCTTTTAAATGCTAACATATACTCCCTCCGTCCCGCTATGATTGTCCCATTTTACCATTTCGGTCCGTCCCACTAAGATTGTCCCATATCTTATTTGGTAAAGTTTGTGTGGTTCTAAATCATTCTCACTTTATTTTTACTTTATCAATTCAATATCAACCACATAAACTCACTTTTATTAATAACCTACCGTGTCACCTTCTCTTGTCCCAAACTTAGAGGGGCGGAGGTAGTAATTCGCTAGAAGATGCCGTGATTAGCGGTTGGCAGGAATGAATACTCTCTACGTATTTTAAAAATGACTACATATTACTTTGGGACATCATTTAAGGAGGAAAGTAGTAGGGGTAATGAATAGTGTAGAAAAAGTAAGAGAAAGTGTGTTAACTTATGAAAAAGAAGATAAAAATATAAAAAGTGAGGTAATTCAGTACTTTTAATCGAAAACTTACTAAAAAGGAAAGTGTATCAAACTTTTAAAATACATTTTAAAAAACAGTGTAACAAACTTTAAAATACCGATACAGTACCTATAAAGAAAGTACAACGACAAAAGTTTCATGAGACACATATTGTACTATCAAGTTAAATCATTGTCATATAGAGTTATTGTTATACTTTATTGTTTATTTAAGATAAAATCTCATTACTATTTTGGATTTCATCTTGTTCTTTTATAAAAATAAAGATAATAAGAAATATTATTATTGATAATTAATACTATAATTGTAAATTGATGACTAAATTATAGGGAAATTGCTCAGAAGTAAATATGTTTTGGAATTTCAAAATATGACTATTTTGCATGTCTTTCTTTCCGAAATAGGTGTTGTTATTGTCATGATTGAAAAACACTGTCATTAATGGCAGTAAGTAATGACATGTCAATGCTTAATTTTGTAACTATTTTGACAGTAATGAGTCAAAGATGATGGTAAATACTCATATTTTGGAAAGAATAACATCATATTTTGAAATTTCAAAACATGCTTGCTCCTTTGTTGGGAATCTTCTCCTAATTTATATTTCTTTCGCCTCACTCAACATTGCCAGCTTTTCTTTTTCGTTTGTCTCAAAAACTTAGTAACTTTCCTTTCAAAGAATGAATTTGTGGTTCAACTTGTTTCTCTCTCCTGTGCACAGACCTCAATATCAGAACTTTTACTTTTCTTATCTCTCACATATTTTGAAGTTGGCAAAGTCTACCGTAACAGAGATAATATACTATCTTTGTCCCATAAATTTCTTTTCACTTACCTCTTTGGGATGTTCCAAAAAATTCTTCCTATTTTAACATAACGATTGAGAGAAAAGATTTCTTACCAAAGTTTATCTACACCTTTTTCCTTTCACATTATCACTATTAATGGGAGAGAAATTTCGATAGAAGGAAAAACTCTTCATCCATATTAGGACCCTTACATTGTTTTAGAATGAGCATAATAGATCATCTTATAACTTTCATGTTCTTATTTA